TCTAATAGTTTTCAAACTATTCAGAATAGTTTCTTAATAATTTTTTTATTGATGGCTTCTACTTGGCGATGTTAGAAGCCATCAGATAACCATAATTAAACTGATGACATTGAATTAATTTAATTTTTGTTATTATTATTATTTTTTTATTATTAATGTTAAGGTATAACATTAATATTTTGCAGTTATTATAAAATAATCTAGACCAGGTTGGGAGTGTCTAAGTTTTCTTTAAACTAGAGCAGAATGACAATTAAAATTATTTTATGGTGATTCTGCAGTAACAGAAACTATAAGGTAATTCTATTAAGTTTCACATTTAACAATTTAAAGATATTTTTTTAATTAATTGTCTATAGTTAAACAAACTATAATGATTAAATATTTAATTATGTAATGGTACATTGTAATTACTTAAAGACGTTTTTATTTAATTGTGTCCCTTTTAATTCTCCATACTTTTTGATCAGAATAGGAGACAAGCCTTTTCTTTATCTTGAGAAAACCAGATTAAGAATTTATTAACAACATTTCACGGCTTCTTTAGATTTGAAAAAATATTATTATAGATTTTCAAAATGCATACATTTACGCAATTTTAATTCAAGGATTCCAAGTGAAAAAGTTTGATTAAATTAAACTTCTCTTAGTGAAATGTTTATTTATCTCTAATGTAAATAAAGTCTGTAAATTACCTTTCTGCAGACATTTTCTTTGTCACAGCAAATAGTCTTGATTTTCTTGAGGTCATCAAAGTTTCTGCTTGAGGTTCTTATTACTTAATGAACGTTGCTTGCACTTTCGGTCTGGTTATCTCGAGGCACACCTGCTGCTTTATTGTCTCATTTGCTTGTTTTATTATTGCTGCTTGGAGCAGTAAATTCTGCAAAAATGTTTCAATGCTGCTATTTTCCCCCTTCTGTAACTCTTGTTACTTTTAAGTCAAAACCCAAGCAGCATGTTGTAAAATAGCTTTGATAAAGTCACTGTGTTTTAAAGAACTTGTTTCTAAAAGGTCAAACACTGACAAACAGACTTTAAACACACTAACCAGTCTAAGAAGTTGAAGTAATAAGATATAATAAAAAGCAAAAGTATTTATCCTTTTAACATTAAACAAACAACATGTTTGACTGTATTGTAAGTGGAGTGACATGTCTGCTCCAAAAAAGTATTTCTCCCTTGCAAATTTATTTTGCGTTTTTTAGAACTAATAACAAACTGCAACAATAACCTTTTTCCTCATGGAAAAGAGAGGATGTCAAAATCATTTAATTTCATAATAAAATATCTTTAAATACATACATCAGCACCCTGTTGGTGCTAAAATTTTAAAAGCTTTTAAACAGAACCAGTCTGGTGACAAGAGGTCGGCTAAAAAATCTTACGGCTTTTCTCATTTGCTTTTGTACATTTCTATAATCATCTTTAATCTTCATTTGTAAAACACTAAGTGCATTTCCATGAATGATTTGAAGATTGAGCGACTAGTTTTGAGCATTTCAATTCTGTTCTGAGAAAATGACAGAAAAAAACGCCCAAACATTTCATCCACAGTTGTATCTGGGATTGGACTCATGTCATAAATTTATTTCTGAAGTTTACAAAACAATCGCAACCTTTTTATTTTTCTTAAGCAGAACCAGCAGTTTCATGGTTAAACATTCATATTTCATAAGGTTTCTAGTTTGGATGGGAGTGTTGCGGTCAAGGTCAACTGGAGGAATCTGCTGTTCATATAGATAAGATAAATTAAGGGTCAAAGATCTCCTAAATGACAATAATTGATTAGATTAGAGGATCATAACAAAAAAGAAATAAAACGGCTAGATTCCCTTTCTCATTACTTTGGCATTCAGTAAATTTTGGTAACTCTAAATATCCACAAGTGGGAAACGTTTTGCCTCATTTAATGTCAAACATTGATAAGAAGACTGTGATTTTTTTATATAAAGTGTGTACATTTATCCACTGCATCAATCTACAAAAATCAAAAGTGAAAGTATTAAAAGCCTGTCTGAGAAGAACTGCTTGTTTTTGTGAATTCGATAGTTTCTTCTGTTTGTGTACAGAAAAATTTCCTGTGAGAAAAAAAAGCTGACACCATAATGCAAGAAAATACCAGATTAACAAAAACAAGGCGATCGTGTCTCAGGATTATTATTGGAACTTATTCTGGAATCACCTAAATCTGAGTGAAATGGTGAATTTTGCTGAAGATGAAACACAACATAAAAGATGCATTATCAGGGTGCTAAGTTTAATATTTTTAGTATTAAAATATGCAGAAGATCAAAATTACATTGCACAAATACAGTTGACTTTGAAGAATAATTAGAATATTTTCACTCTGTGAAACATTCTTAGTTATTATTTTATTTTATTTTATTTTTAAGTAGAACCAGGAGTTATATAACATTCTTATTTCAAGTTTTCTAGTTTAGATTTGAGTATTGAAATTTCTAGGTCAGCTGGAGAAATCTGCTGTTCTTGTAGCTAAGATAAACAAAGGGGCAAAGATCTCCAATATGGCAGCAGTTTAGAAACTTAATGTCTCCATAGAAAAGAGAAATTGAAAAAGTAAAAACAGTAGCTTCAATGTATATAATAGTTTAACTTTTAAATAATAAAAAAAAAGACTTTCAGAAAACTGAAGCGCTGCAAATTTTAGTTTCCTTTTATAAAGCTTTCAGTGGCATTTATAGAGATCGATTTCACTTTTAAGTAAAAATGAAAACAATGTTTGTAAAACTAGTAAAATTAAGTAAAATAAATCAGATGAAGCAGACAAAGTACTCTTTGATATGCATTGTTATAATATAGTTTGGATGGAGTTACAATTTTTCTTTTCTGGAGTTAAAGACAGAGGACTATGATGTAAATTATATTAAAATTATCTACTCAGGTCAGAGTAAAATAAATTATTTTACTATTTAGAAAATATTTAATATAAGAGTAAAGGAAAGGTCAATAAAATTGATCTAGCATTTGAGTATAAGCACTCAACCTTTCAGAAAAACATGTTGGAGTGAAAGTTGTCACAGATATGACAACTTCCACACTCTGATAAGAGTTGGCTAAATAATCTACCAAACCAGTTTTATGTAAAGGATTTTGTTGAAAGTATAATAAAGCTTGATGTATAAATTAAATTTTTATTTGTTTCCTTTTTATTTATTCAACAAAAAACAAAGAGTTTGTGCATTAAACTTAAAGAAAATTAATCTTCTAAGCCACAGATTTTTTGGGGGGTCAAAGAAAAATATCTGTTGTAGTGAAAAGTGATACTGTTGATTTGATCTTTACCTAAATTCAAACTGTGAAGGTTGTTAAATAAAAATGAGCATCTCCCAGACTTTGGTCTTGAGGTGGAGTGCCCCTCCGGATCATGGATGAAGTTCTGCCTCCTGCCCAAGTGGAGGAGTTTTATATATCTATGTAGTGTTTTTCACAAATGCAGGAAACATGGAGTGAGAACTCGACAACTGGTGAGACATTTGCAGGGATCGTACAGATCTATTATGGTGGACACAGAGCTGAACCTAAAGGCTGTTAAAGCTTTAAAACTTTGCCTGCTGGTTTGTGATTAAAGACATCAGAGTCGGTTGATTCCACTCTGATATCCAGATATTTAACATCACACCATGCAGATTTTTCTTTTACTGAGAATGATTCTGTTAGTTATTTCTTGCTCTATTACTGATATATAGCATAACCCATGGTATATAGATAAAATGTTGGTGCCCTAAAAAGGTATTTCTCTAATGCATAGCTTTAAATGACTGTATAGCCAGTCACAGGTCAGTGTTGATCTGCAGCTGTTTTGCTATGATGTGCTATATTGTAGCTCTAGTGACCTATAAAAGTCTGTCGCTTCTTGAATTGCAGGTTAACAGTTTATTCTACTCCAACCAGACAATTTGTGCACAAAACTGAATAACTTTAAAGTACACTGTAACAGTATTTACACGGTGTTTGCTGAAATGGTCAAAACTTATTTGTCCTTCCCGGTTCAACACCTGCCTCTTACCCGTCTCTCCTTGACTCCTTTACATGAGCCTACAGCCCCATCTAGTGGCCAAAACCACCATACATTTATACATATTTGTCTCCGATGACGTATGAGGTGAGTGTCTTAAATACATTCGGTGCAGCAAGTTTTCAGACTCCTTTACATTTTTCACTTTTTGTTTCATTGCAGCCTAAAAAGTTCACATTATTTAACATGAATGTGTAGCTGACTCATCTGTTGCGTCTAATGGTAAAAAGAAACCTGCAGATAAGGACCATTGTAGTATTGCAGCCACCAGGGGAGGTTTATTAAACCAAGAATATTTTCAGCACAGCAGTTCTTGGCTCTTCTTCCCCACACACACCTTAGAGACAGTCACAAGAACGCAAATAACCACGTTGGCAGGAAAAACTCCATAAATGTCACTAACGTGGGAATTAAATACCCAATACAAGCTGCGCTAAACATAAAACAGTTTAATAATAATACATAACAAGTTGCGCTAACAAACATACGTTTCAGAATATTTTAATACACAAATAGAAAATAACTTTTTTTGTTCTTTCTCCCCAGCGCAGCTCGGCGCGAACACACAAGATGTGACGCAAAACAGGAAACAAGAAAATAAAAGCTTCTCCACCAAAATAAAACACAACTCATTTATATTTTCAACTAACTGAAAAAAACCCTTTAAAATCAGTAAAAACATAAAAGAAATGATCCAGTTGCAATTGTATGGTGTTAAAGTGTTTTTAATGGCGAAAAATGCAGCAGAAATTTCTCTATTTGGTGTTTTAAGTAATACGAAACAACTGAACAAAAATCACATGAAGGAAAATAAAGTTTACACTAAAGCACACAACTTTTCAGAATTTTTTTAATCATCTCTATAAACACAAAAAACAAAACATAAAAACCAAATATACAGTAAAATTGAAATAATAAAAGAACCACAAAAATACAAAACGTGTTAAATTTAAAGCTGATCACATTATTCTTAAAGGACATCTGAGAATACAAACCCATTCAATAAATTAACATTATTGAAAAGCCCATTTATTTTAGAAACTTTATCACTTACTGGAACATGTTAGCTTAATTACACAGAGATTTGTGTTATGCTGACTTTCTTCTTTACAGGTAATAATAACATGACACATAAAATAACCATATCACATAAGATCATTAAAAATAATTAGTACAGATCTGAAATGTATGTTTAAATACTAGTTAAATGTTGTTATTCTCAAATATGCTGCTAACCTGATTAGCAAGCCTCATCTTAACACATGTCAGTTTACTGAATCCGACTGCATGTATTTTACAGCAAATGAACAAATCAAATTTTTAACTGAGTAGTTTTGAATTACAAGGTAGAGTTAAATGGGACACAAAAAAGCCAAAAATATAATTTTGTAGCTTGCCCTGCGACAGACTGGCGACCTGTCCAGGGTGACCCCGCCTCTCGCCCGGAACGCAGCTGGAGATGGGCACCAGCAACTCCCAACCCCGTTAGGGAGAAGGGTGACGGGAAATGGATGGATGGATAATTTTGTAGCATTATCATTATGTATGTTATTGTATAACTATTGTATATTTAGAAATTTCTTTAACAGAAAACATCTTTTTGTATGTTTTAGTAAAAGCGCCCTCTAGTGGAAGTGTTTGAAAAATCACATGAAAAGTTCAGAAGATCAGAAGGAAAATTTATCTGAAATATTTAACTTAGTTTTATGTCGCGGATCTGCAAAGATCGGTATATTTGATAATCGTCGTGTGGATGTGTGCATTGGAATGTCACCGGGTTCGGGTGCCATTGGGTAACCCAATCACAAAGTGACTAAGTAAAGCTTTTCATACTGTACTGCAAGGATCTGCGTGTTTGATAATAGTTGTTACAGGGTGAGTGCATGATTGGTTCTCTTGTCAGTATCTGTGTTGCCATGAGTTGTAATGGCTTCCTGTCCAAGATGTACCCCAATATTGTGTAGTGTATGTGGATCCTGCAAGGACTGGCGTGCTTGATAATAGTTGTCAAACTGTGAGTGCATGATTGGTTCTCTTATTGGTCTCTGCATTCCCGTGTATTGGAATGGCATTGTGTTCTGGGCGTAACCCGGGTATTGCGTAGTGTACAAGCTTTGCTCATGATTCTGCAAGGATTGGCGTGCTTGATAATAGTTGTCAAACGGTGAGTGCATGATTGGTTCTCTTATTGATGCCTGTATTCCTGTGTATTGGAATTGCACTGTGTTCTCGGCATAACCCGGGTATCGCGTAGTGTACAAGCTTTCCTCATGATCCTGCCAGGATTGGGGTCTTTGATGGCCGGTATGTGTCTCCGGATAAAATGGCCTTCTGAGCATGTCTCTGTTTTCTTCTTGGGTACATTGGCTTTTCCTTAGAGACTCACAGATTTTATCCCAAGAGTTTATCTGTGAGTGAAACAATGCCATTCTGGTTCTGAGGATCTTTGAGACTTTAGTCTCACTGCCTTTGACCAGACTCTTGCTGTCTTTGGCAACTGAGGAGATAGTCTGGCCAATATTAAAGCAGTGAAATACAAAATTACCAAATTCTGTGATAGGTCCAACATGCTCTTTTCTATTTCTTAGCACAACTCTATCTTTCCCACATAAAGGATTATAATTACTTATGAAATTGATACCCTTTCCTACGGCATGTACATTGAAAGCGCACTTGACTATTCCCATAGCCACATCCTTTTTGCTCTGTTTCAGATTGACTGTTGGGTATTTCACCCCATCATCAAGATAGTCCTGGATGGCTTGAAAGTTCTCCATCAAATCTTGAAATACTGTATTTGCAGTTTTCTGACGGTTATGATTGATGGCAACCTCTGTTGTGTTGGTTGCCAAACTATTGGCTTTAGTTGTTATCCCCAATGACACACCAGTTATTGTCAGCCCTAAAGCTGCTCCTCCTGTACATGGAGTTAATGCCAAACCAACAAGGGAGAGAACTGAAGCAACTGCTCCCAATGAGCCACCTACCACATTGGAGATCTTTGCTCCCTTGCCCATCCTGTCTAACCTATCAGCACACTGCTCCAGCTTATCAAGACAGTATATCATTCTACGCCGTTTCTCATTAAATATAGTGACGAACTCTTCTGAAGAGCCCTCCTGGAACAGGAACTCCATCCGAAAGTGCTCATTCATTCTGTGGAAGAAATTTTTTCTTCTTAATTCTACAGAAACATTTGAAATAATAAACTTTTTCATACATAGAAAACAGAAACACATTTTGACAAAAGTCCCATTTGTGCTCCAAAGTAAATACACAGACACATATGGAATGAATTTTCAGTCAGTCGTCTCCATTCATTTTGTGGCTTTTTTGCGCCACAATGCAAACAGTTGTTCACTGACTCTGTGTTCTCGTCCAGGAGGAGTGAATTCTGCAGGTAAATGACTCGATGCAATCTGCTGGGTTTCCTTATCCGGCAGATTGTCCAATGAAAAGGGATCATTTAAATTTCTTTTCAGCTAAAAAAGTCCAGGTGTGCCAGTACCAGTGAATGTCACGTCACCACTTTCATGGCTGTTTGAAGAAAGCTTTTGTATCAATTTGTTTGCCGTTTAAACAAGTCTAACGATAGACTCATTATATTGTTGACTAATGTTAAATATATTGCAGTAAAATATTCATCTGTACTTAGGAAACATTGGTATGACTGCTCCCTGAATGGTCAGGGCCCTTTTTATGTACCTTTTATTGTATTAATTGTTTTCTTTTCTTATGTAATTTGGACTTTGAGTCTGTAATAAAATCTACTTATCTATATATCTGTGTAAACAAAGTAAAAATCTTCTGTTCATAAGTCTGCTTGATTATGACCGATGGAACAACCTGAAAGTTGTCTGGGAAAAGTTGAACTTGTGCTGATGTTGCTTTTGGTTTGTGATACTGAAGTGAATCCTGGGTTTTCCCTGAACCCAGCCCAGTTAGCACTGATGCTAACCTGGTCACAACTAGAACATATGGTTAGTGACTCAAATGTTGATGTACTTGAAATTCGCTCCTACATCACCAACAGCGGCTGTAAATATGCCAGATAACGATGTTTACAGACGAGAAGGTGGTTGTGAATCAGTCCATTTAGAAACATTTTGCTGTGAACTAATCAGTTGGTCAGAGGAAGCTAATCATGAATGTACGGTTTAAAGGCTACACAATATTTTTTCACTGTGATTTGCTTATATTAACCTCTATCTGCTAAGGATAGAGAAACTATTCATTTGCATCAGCTGACAATAAATTAAATAGTAGATGGGTCTTCATGTCTTCCACTCCCTGCCTGTCTGGTGTCAATGGGAGTAATTTATTTTACTTTCTAGTATTTTATTATGCTAAACTATTTCCTTTTACTGTGATGTAATCTTGTAAAGTGAAAAATTAATTTTTATCATTGAAACTCCTCCATTTGGTTTAACTGGAGGAGTTAAAATGAGACTTGATTCGATGATGAATCAGGTCTCATCATTGACTCGATGACACCTGATGAGACACTGGGAATCTCATCAGGTTTTTACTTCTGATGTAATAAGTTTAATTGAAACTGATCACAACAGAAAAATAATATAATTGTATTGCAATAAAATATGTAAAGCTTACCTGATGTCACCAAGTTGCTTAATGTGATTGATCATTTCTTGAATGTCGTCTTCATACAGATACTCAGCATTCACCACAATGTCCTCATCCGTAATATTCAAGTACATCTCAAAGTGAAAGCTGTGAAAGACAAAGTTAGATACACCTTGGAGTATTATTTTTTGTCTAAAATAACAACAATGTTTATCTATGTTTAATACTATAAACATAATTTTACCCATATCTATGATCCACACATATCCTGGTGGCGGTGTCTATGTAAGTTCGCAGGCAGCTTGCCAGAATCTCCACATTGGGAAGGTAAGGGAGGAAGAAGGACTTTGCATTTCTTTTGAATGTCAGGAGGAGAGGACAGATTTGCCGTGCAGTGCTGATCATATCTTTGACATTATCTAAGTCGATCCTGTGAGGAAGGTAAACAATCTGGTTCTTGGAAAACACCTGCAGCGAAGTGACCGCCAGCTTCTCCATCGCATCCAAGAAAGTGTCGAGTTCCTCCAGACCTCTCAGTTCCTATCAACACTTCCTCCAGCTCATTTTCTCATTTTTCAAGTCTGCTCTTTTTATGAAACTGGAAATGACTCTTCAGTTTGTTAGAACCTTTTTGGTGTTTCCCTCTGTGATGGTGAAACTGGGATCTATTTTGAGAGTCTTGTCTTTGATGCTCATCATTTGCATATACTCTCTCTCTCTCCTATCCTTCCATTGAGAGAACCTGTCATGAAAGTACTTTGCTGTTGCTACGTAAGTCAGAGTATCGGTGACGTACTGACTCAAGGCCCTCTTTAGTCTCTGCCTGTAGGACAGAAAATTGACACTATGGTTATGCATACAAAAACAAATATGAAAACAAAGGTAAGCAGCTCTAATTACATGTTTGTTGTAGATAATCAGCATTTCCACTAGAACTCTTGAATGATCAACATGTTTGCTATTAGTCATAGTTTGAAAACTATTTGTTTTATTGGTGGTTTCAACAAGACCACATTAGAAGCCACCAGATCACAACCAGGAAGCAAAACACAAAGGAGGTTGAATACTTTTGCTTTAATGAAATAACATTTATTAAATGTTTCAATAATTTATTTAATAACCATTTATTTATTTCATTGTACGTTTAATTAATGATTTAATAATGTACTTAACTATTTAACTGTTTCCCTCTTAATCCTCTCAATTGTCAGAAATGTAAAACTTTTCATGCTGGTTTTGATTAAAGAGACGTGAGCTGATTAATTCCTCTCTGATCATTTACTGGAAGACTGGGTAGTAAACATCAAGCAAAGACCAATTCCCATCAGGAAAGGAAAGTTATGTAACCTTCAGATCTTTTTTATAACTTAAATTGACATGAAGATAAACTTTGTGTGTCTACAGTTGATTATTGCCGTAAATGGCAATAATGGCAATAATCTAACTGGGTCTAATTGGAATCCATTGACTCGCTTCCTTAAAGTGTTTTATGTGGGGAAAAACAAGTGGTGGTACCTCCCTTCATGTTATAAAAATATGGCATAGAAACATGTTTTTTATCTAAATCTATTGATCTATAGCTCAGTAGATTTATTGCAGAAAAATGTAGATTTATCAGAAAGCTGTGAATCAAATCCACATGAACCAGATTGAAGGTGTTTTGGAGAACATGCAACTAAATTCTTTATGCAAAGCTTCAGAAATGTTTTGTGATGTTAGTAATTTTTTGCTTTTACTTGAGTAATACACTGAAAAAAATAAGTCATTGGATGAACATAAAAAAATTATGGAAAGGTTTTCCACCTGATTACTTTGCTTTATTTCAGCACCATGTACTTGTGTTACTCCTATTTAAGCAAATGTGTTAGGTCAACCTAATTTATTAAGATTATTCCAATGTAAAGCAAATGTGTTGGCTCCACTTGTTACAATGGTGATTCAATGGGTGATTTAAATCAACATGTTGGCTCAACATAATATATTGTGGTTATTCTTATATAAATAAAATGAGTTGGCAAAACATAATTCATTAAGGTTGTTCTAATTTAAACCAAATATGTTGGCTTAACCAGAATTATGGTAAGGCAATGGATGATTGTAAATCAAATGAGTTGGCTCAACTCCATTCATTAAGGTTATTCAAATTCAAATGAAATGTGTTGGCTCAACATATGTTTTAAAGGTTCCTTTAACTCAGTTACTATAGCATGACCCAGTGTAGTGCAATACAGCCAGCCCAACTAATCTGCAATGTTTAGGACCAAATCATTGATGTAACTTCATTAAGATGAATGTAAATCTAGTTGAAACCACCTTATTTTACAGTGGTACCTTCACACTACCTGATTCAGTAGGTCCAACTCACTAAAAGCAAGTTAGCTCAACAAATATGCTTCATGCTAAAAGACAGCTAGTTAATCGTGTGGAAATCCTTTCCATTATTTCATGACGTTAATTCAAAGACATATTTTCAAGCGTTAATCAAGCATTTTAAGATAGCACTAGGTGAAAGTGTAGGAAGAACACTCAACAATTAGAAAAGGTACAACACAATTGTATTTTCAGAATTGTTATACATCGTTTTTTACACAGCACAAAACACAGCTGAGTTGGACATTGAAATAAAAAAACAACTACAAAAAGGTTACAGTTTCATTTCCCAGCCAATTCTTTACAGCATAAACATGTCAGTATAGTTGCTCAACTTAGAGAACTGTAACAATATAAATCTTTTCTACTGCAGACTTTAAACACTCATTTTCCATATGAAACTTTACTCAACTTAGCAGCGAGTTTCATATTGAGAACTTGTGCTTTCTTTGATAAGTTTCTTTCCATCCAATTTCATTATTATTTTCTGTATTACTTCAAAGGTATGCTTGAGTTACTGAGCAAGTTGAGTGCTGAACGCACTAAACTTGAGGGTAGCTCAAGTTTAGTGCATAGATTAGTCCCAGCAGCATCACTATTGCAGAAGATACACTGCCCAAGCTGTTCATAACTTCCACCTCCTCCAGGACAATCCCAACATCCAGATGTGCATCGGCAGCCTCTGCACCCTCTGCTCAATGACAACGATTCCGAGGACAGCCTCGGCTTTGGCCATTTCTGCGCATTCATCAACGTCCTAAGGGAGTTAGGGAAGGGTATTGGGGGAGAGACAATTCACATGTAATTAAATAAATAAATTAGACTGACATTGATTGAGTCACTCATGGACCTTAGTTGGTGAAAGTATTTTAACAACTCTTAGGAGATCTATTGTAAACACAAAGAGAATTTAACATACCATGTACTCCCTCACCAGCTTCTCTGGATCTTCATTTAGGTACACACAGACATTTGAGGATGCACTCTCGTCTGACCTCAGCAGTGTCTTCCTAAATATGCAGATCAAAAACAATGAGAACAATCTCAAAACTCCAGCAGTATAGGTTCACACACTTGAAAACATAGCTACATTCAAAGGAAGTGACAACAAAAGTGATCAGTGGCTTGCAGTCTATTTGAAAGATATTTAAAATTGTTAGTATCCCTTCATTATGCCATGACTAAAATGGAGTTTAACATCTCATTTAAACATCTAACTGAAGCTGTTAGAGGTTTAAATAAAGACATGAATATATCACCAAAGAAATATGTGAAAAGTACAGAATGGTCAACACAGTCTATATCCTTCTACTTTAATGAATATGCAAAGCATTCCATGTCTTACAAGTACATGGACAGTCTATGTGTGGGCTTGGAACGTCGCATATGCCGGTGTTTAAGTGTAAAATGTTTTAACAGGTCATATCTACGAGACAGAGAGAGACTACACTTCTTACATTTCCACATCCCCACGCAAATAAAGACAAATAAAACAGACTGGCCAAATAAATGTTTAGCTGAACTCTAGCTCTATAAGCTCTCTAACACTACATTCAGTCACTTTAGATCTGGCAAAACTTACTATTAGCCACTAAAATCTATAACTTGATAGCCAATGATCCCCTTGACCAGAACTTAAGCAGGTGGATTACAGACAGGTGATGTTCTGAAAGAGATCAGATATATTTTCAGCCATTAAAATATGCAATTCATACTGAACTGAGTTGTATCTTTTAGTACAAGTCCCTTGAATGCCTCATGAATATAACCACTGGACACTTGTATGCAAGCACATATGTGCAGAACAATGGTGAATTGAACATGGTAGAAAGCAATAGTAACATAGGTCAAAATGAGCACAAACAATCAACACAAAAAACATCAACATTTCAAAATTAAACCAATGAACTTCAATATGTTTCTGAGCTACAATTATTTGGGGACAACAAGAAGAGTCCAAAAAACCCCAACATCTTTACAGCAGAGGAATATGTATTTTTAAAGAAAAAAAAAATAGAAAGCTCAAGTCTGTAATAATGGATAATCCATTGAGAGTTTTAGCCTGACAAAATATACTAGAAATCCATAACTAACAGGTATTTTAGGAACATTTAACAAAGCTCAGAAAGCAATGCTTTCTGCAGGTTTCACCGACTGAAATGTAGGACTTTTTATTACCATAATTAATTAAGAATCTCGATGATGATAGAAAGGTACCAAAGTGTGTGTATCTACATTTACCTCCATAGTAACATTACTGAAATAGAATTAAAATAGTTAGAAATAGACTGATGTTAGATCAGTGTGTTAAAAATCCACTAAACCTCCAGGGAGCTCAGGAGGAGCAAAACTGTGACATTTCTGGGGTCCATTTGTGTCTCTGGCAGCAGCTTTGTACACTACATATGGCTCTGCAGACTTTTTTCGCACAGAATGTACCTAACATGGTGCGGCGATAAATGTAAACAAAAAGCTATCTGCCTTAACCTAACCGACTTAATCTACAGAACATGAAATAATGTGACACAAGTATGGAACAAGTAGAAAATGGTGCAAATGGTAGAGAAATTTTAAGTTACATATTTTATATGGATTTAGATGTTGACTCTTACCTTCTTCAAATTAAATTAGTAGCAAAAGGAATCTCCCCTCTGCCTTGAAAAAACCCAACAAGGTGCGAGCCAGTTATCTCGCGTGATTTTCCGTAATCTCTTGATGTCGCTGGATCCTCTTCAGCGGGAGATGAGTCTGACACAATAACGCTTTGGAACTGACGTCACTGTGTTTTTTTTTTATTAGATTAACTTTGACAAATATTGATATTAAATAAAAAAAAAAAACATATATATATATATATTTATATATATTTTATATATATATATATATTATTTTTTTTTTTAATTAGATTAACTTTGACAAATATTGATATTGAATAAAATAAAAAAAAACATATATATATATATATATATGTTTTTTTTATTTATTCAATATCAATATTTGTCAATATTTATATATATATATATATATATATATATATATATATATATATATATATATATATATATATATATATATATATATATATATATATATATATATATATATATATATATATATATATATATATATCTTGGCACAGCCAAGATACTGCGCAGGACCCTCAGCTCCCAGGCCTCTGGTAGAGGCCTGGGAGCTTGAGGAATTAGATGTATTCAAGTTGAGATAACGTCATTCAATCACGTTAGTTCAGTTGAGAGAAAAAACCGATTGTCTCGCGTGTTCTCGCGTGATATCCCGTGATCTCACTCGTTGTCGTCAGCACAATATCAGTCTAACTATAATGAATCATGTTAGCTCAACATGATTCAATTTTATAAATGTGAAGTCGTGGAATATCTTGTTTATCCAACATGATTTATCACGTTTTCGCTTCAAACCCAACATTATTGTGTGAAAGGTACATGATATTTTTTTTTAATGTAATACGCCCCGACGTTCTTTTTTTTTTGGCGGAAGATCTAGCTGACGTAATTGAATCACGTTATCTCACCTTGAATACATTTTATTCCATTTGCGAGAAAAAACCGATTGTCTCGCGTATTCTCGCGTGATATCCCGTGATTTCCCGTAATCTTGCGTGAACTTGCGTGATATCGCGTGATCTCACTCGTGGTCTTCAGCATAGGATCGGTCTGACTATAATGAATCATGTTCGCTCAACATGATTCAATTTTATAAACGTTGAAGTTGTGGAATATCTTGTTTATGCAACATGATTGTATCATGTTTTTGGCTCAAACATGCAATTATTTAGTTAACAGTACATGATATTCTTTTGTTAATGTGATAACCCCTGAGGTTCCTTTTTTACAGTGTATTACTGTGACGTATCACTACTCTTACTTTGGTAAAATCCTGTATACTATCTGTTTTGAGTAACTTCACTAAATGAAGGACAAACATGTTAACCAAAAATGCACCAGTTACATTCAGACTGCCACTGTTTTATGTTAAAGGGGAATTCACAAGCGTTGCTGATTTGAAGTTAGTTTTTTTTATTGGCATTTAAAGGTGAAAAATTCAAAACTGGACGAATTTTAACAGAAATAAAAGATAATTTTTCTAAATCAACATTTTAAACAGGAGAGACTGTAGTCATTTCTTTATCTTGAGAAACCAGATTAAGAAATTGTTTCAGCTGCTCTCTTGCAGAAAGCATAAAAATTGGTAATGTTTTTCCCGTCAGATTATATTTTGCTATTTAGCCGCATTTCTGTGCGGTTTAGTAAATATTCTCCTCACTCTGCGTAAAGTCTGTAACGTCTGCGCACAACCAGTTAAGGATGTGAATTATAACCTGTCAAATGACAGAGGGGCTTCAAGTTTTCCCATTGTTTTCTTTATTATTATTGTTATTTTTTAAAAACCGGACAAATACAGAAATATTTCGTTAACGCGACCACTGCGCAGGTTCTGTAGATTTGAAAGACACAAGAAAAAAATAATCAAACATTCCTGCATTCACAGAAATTTAATTCAGTGATTCCAGCTGAACAGAATAAATTCCATTTCACTCTTTTAGCGTTAATTTTAACAAAATTAATCTCTGTAATAATTTTCTATGAATGTAGATATGCATTTTGCTTACCTTTTTCTAGTCATTTTTGGTTTTTCACTGCAGTCTTTCTGCGCCCTGAGCAACTGATTGAGGAGCTTCTTAAAGAGCCTGCAGCCAAACTGATGTCTGAATGCTGACTGGTTGTGTCTTTAATAGTTTTACTGGTGCTTCCAGTCAAGAGCATTAAGGAAGTGATATTCCTTCCCAGAAGGAATATATTTTTGGGAACATAAAGGTCAGAGAAGGGATTAGCTGCCTAATCACTGGAGTAACCCTCAGTCTGGCCTGTGAAGGTCGTTCAACATGGACGCCTCACCTCTTTTATTACCCTTCATCGTAATTTTGCTTTCATGTCTTTACTTGTGTGAAACATGTATGAATTGGATGCCTGTTAATTTTTCTCTTTTTAATTCTTGTATTCTCTGTCATCGTAATTTTTCATTTTCAAAAAATGTTCAACTCAGTCGTTGTTTGTGATCTGTGTTTATAGAAACGCTTCAGGAGATCCGATTGAGAGTGAAGGAGAGATTCTGATATAAATTTAAAGTTTGAGAAATATGGCTTATCATAATCACACAGCTTTGCATAATTTTACTTCAATATATTTTTTTATTTTCAGTAAATGACATATGAAATACACTCAACATTAAATCAGTAGATATAACAATGTAATTATTTTGTTGGAAATACAATAAAGCTTGATTTATTAATTATTTCTTTCATTTGTGTTTTTTTTACTCAACAAAAAATTTAGCTCGTGCATCAAATGGACGTTTTAAATTACACAGATCTTTTTCTGCTCAAAGAAAAAAACCTGTTGTATTAATACTCCTGATAATCAAGCAGAGCAAACGGATACATTAATGGATCAGTTTGTGCAAGCTGTCTGAACTGATCCAGTCATTAAAAGAATGGAAACTCTGCACCAAAAACAGCCTTGAACATGTTATAAACTGGACTGAATCTGTTTTGGATCGTTTCTCTTGGAACGGTCATGCCGGTGTTGTCCACAGTGTAGGCGTACTGCAACCTCAGATACTGCTCCTGCAATACAGCGCTTTCAGGTGATTTCCCCAGGCAGGCAGCCAGGTGGACAGTGGCTTCATATCCAGAGAAAAAGAGCACCAGAGAAATGGCCAACATGATGGTAAAGAAGGGCACTTTGCCAATCCCAAGGTCGAGGTACGGGACGAGATACCGTTTGCTGCTGGTGCACCAAATTCTGCTGCTAGAGCAGTGAAAGCTGCAAACGCAGGGTCTCCTACTTTTGCTACTGGACCAACCGTGATGACGGGGACGAGTTGAAGTCCAGCATTCTTCATGGAGTTCCAGCGCTGAGGAAGGGTAAATGAAGTATGGGCTGCTGGAGGAAAAGGGCATAGGTCAGGATCGGTGCATCTAAACAGTCGGTGGTCAGGCTGGATGCTTCCTTTAGCGATGCTATAAGCCGCGTTAGCATACAGGAGGCAGTTCCAGGGAGAATACAGCAGGACGTCTTTGATGGATGGCAGAGGCAGCATAAATCCTGCAGGAATCATTCGGTTGTCAATCGAACCATGAGCCAAGAAGATCAACTCAATCTTCTTCTTCTCCCGATCCTCCTCCTTCTTCTTCTGCGCCTCCTCATTCAGCTTTTCTTCTATAAATTTGGCAAGATTTACCAGATGGACCAAGATATCAGACTCTGCGTTTTCTCTCAACCACTGTTGGAGCTCTGGAGAATGAGTGTTATTAATTAAGTGGTCAATCAGCTCTTTCTTCTCATCTCTGGTCATGTTTTCCTTCTGTATGATGAATTTGATTCTCACCAACTTCTTAAGAGCTCCTCTGCAAAAAGATTTAAAAATAAAATTATTTTTCCACACACGTTTCTATTTAAATAAATTTTTATACTCTTACATATCACTTCTCATCCACCATCATCATAAACACCGGAGTGCCACAAGGCTGTGTGATCCCTTCCTCTACTCTCTCTTCACCCACGACTGCAGACCTGTCCATGGCTCTAATGCCATCATCAAGTTTGCAGATGACATCACGGTGATCAGCCTCATCAGAGACAACGATGAGGTCGCCTACAGGGAGGAGTGGACCGTCTGGCTGAGTGGTGCGACAAGAACTACCTGCAGCTGAACACCGAGAAGACCAAGGAGCTCATTGTGGACTTCAGGAGGAACGCCGACCTGCACCCACCCATCCACATCAAGGGAATAGCGGTGGAGCGTGTGAACAGCTTGAAGTTCCTGGGAGTCCACATCTCCGAGGACCTGACCTGGATGACCAACTG